CATCTCTCTTAGTTATCCCAATAATGTTTTTGTTTGTTGTTTGTTCATAGTATGATCCATTTACATAAAATATAAAGCATGCAAAGCAGCATTATATATTATTTAGGGATGAATTCAAATGTAATAAAATGTAAGGATTTATGTGAGTACCACTAGGTGACCCTCTGAGGAAAGAAAAGACATGTACAGCGGAGAAAAAGTACATGAAATTTTTTCTTGCTTCACTAGAAGTATGTTTCTGAAGATGGGGCAGTTGAGCCTTTTTTATAGCCTATCTATGTTTGGAACATTTCTTCTTTGAAGAAGCACAAGGATATTTGAGATATAATGGTGAATAACCTAGAATTGGGAGCATTTTAACCAAAAATGTTAATATTAAAGTTTCCAGAGATGTTTAAAGACTAAAATTCTGTTCATCCACCTGGCCCTTGGATTGGTCTTTCCAGTTTCAGTGCTGTATATGTCGTTGGTGTCTTACAACTTCTGTTTCTAGCTCTCAACTTGCACCTTCCCTGTAACCTATGAAGGACTCCAGTTTACTGTCCTCAAAAAGAAAAATTCCTGGAGCCTCTTACAGAATTTGTCTCCTGCCCTTCTTTCAGAGTTCTTGAAGGTGTAGTCTGTGCTTGCAGTCTCATAATTTGTCCTCTAATCCAATACCTGTTCACAAAGATGTTCCAAAAAGTGTAGACTTTTTTTTAAAACAAAATTTAATTGTAGTAAAAGTCAGTCTTCTCTATGTTAATAGATATCTTTCCGCCGGCATTGCTTCTTCCCTTAAAGCGTTTTCATTTCTTGCCTCTGTGTGTTATACACAGGTATCTGTTGTTTTCCTCGTACCCACTGGACCAGCTGTCAAAGTTTACTAGTCCTCTTGACATTGTTTCATTATCCTCCCCACCTCAGTCTTCATTTTCTTGTCTTCTGGATGTCTTTTCAAGCTCAACGTGTCCCATATCCTGGCGTATTATCTTACCTCCATACCACTGCCTCCTTTGGGATTCCCTTGCTGAAGTAAGCAGTCTAGAATCCTCAAAATCATGCTTAATGCTTCCCTCCTTCCTAGCTCATGATCCACTGGTTTACCATGCTATGCTGATTTTTTAAACTCCAAAATAGCTGTGTTTTTCTCTGTCCCGAGTGCTGCATAGCCACATTTGAGATGCTCGCCATCTGGTCTGGACAGTACCCCCAAAGAAAGTCTTTTCCAGCTTTTTCACTTCTACTCTCACCCTGTTTCTTAAACTGGAAGCCAGTTGTGATCCAGGCACTATATTTGGTTTTTAAGTCCAGTATTAGTAGATTTCCATACCCATGGACTTAAATTTTGTCTGTGGTTTCTTCCAAGCCGAAGTGGTAGTGTTGAGTGTTTGGCACAGACCATCTGATCCACAAAAATATTTATCATCTGGACCCTTACAGAAAATTTGCTGACGCTGGACCAAAAACTTGGATAATTTAAAAAGACATCTTGAACTTTCTGAAGAGCTATTTGAAATTGTGCGTCTAAGATTCTCTTGTATTCTTAGAGGAACATCTCATATTCCTTGGAAACACTGAAAAACCTAAGTAATATTTACTTTTGAAGCTCTTCTAGTGAGATTTAAAATCTTTAAGTCAGAAAGCACATATTTTTATTGCTTGTTGTATACTATGTATTTTGTAAGAAATATATATTTGAATTTCCATCGTTCTAAATTCTTCCTGAATGTCCTGTTTTCAGTCATTTGAATTGTTACCAGTCTTTGCTCTACTACCGCATAATTTCTTTGACTAGATGTCCTGCAGTGCAGTGTTACATTCTGTTGAGGTGTGGTACTGAAGCATGAGAATGGGATGCTGATGACATTTTTGGATTTCAGGTATTTCTAATAATGTATAGCCTTCCAAATCTTTGTCTGCCTGGAGCATTATAGCCTATAAATGTTCATATTTTGTATTACGCTCAATAAAACTCAGCTGTCGTCTTCTAGCAGCACAGGAATTTGTGATCAGTCTTTTCTGGGAAAGAATTAGGGATAGTCTTGTACCTAGTGATGTTCCTGTATATGTTTATCCTCCAGGTAATTTAGAACAATGGCTTTAGCTTCCTTTCAGAAAGGAGAAATAACATTGGACTTTTTTCAACTCTGAAATCACCTCTGAGTATGTGAAACATTTTAGTTGTGACTCCTAAGGAGTCATGTTCTTTTCCCTCTTTCAGCTAGAATAATGTGTGCTCCCCCGATACCACCATTTAATTTTTCTTAAACTATAGCCTATTTCATAATCCAAAATACCTATGACTTATCCTTGGTAACCCAGTTTTTAAAAAATATTCTCTAGGTGTAGTTGAAAGTTTCAAGTAGATTCTAGATTTAAAATGGAGTTTTAGCTAATTTATTACTGGTGAGAGTACTCCTTGTTTTCCTGAAAGATGTAGGAACATGTGGTAAAAGACAGGCCTTGGTCACCTCACCATTTCTAAAGCAGTACGTGACCAGAGCCTGGGAGCAATTTTTAAAAACTAACATTAAAGATGACATTTCATTTGAAAAATGTTCCAGTGTTTGGTTTTTTTTGTTTTGCTTTCTTTGGACATTAAAAAGTATCATTAGAGTAAAAAAAAAAAGTCAGATCTGTTACTTCTGGTTGCTTTTATGTACAAAAGTTTATGCAGTTATATCTTTATGATTTTATCTTTTGCTTTTATTCCTTTACTATTATTTTTTATACACTGACTTAATACTATTCAGGCACTGAATATTCCTCCCCTCCCACTGACTTAAAATAATTAACCTCTGATGTATTACCTTGACGTGAGTGGGGCTGTTTGCAGTGCTCAGGTGTTGTCCCAGTGCAGTGCCGCTGAAGTGCTGTGTGTCATGGATTCCTTTCCTCAAGCTCTGCTGGCAATTTTCTTTCTTTCTTTCTTTTTTTTTTTTGAGAATTATTCTCTCATTTGTTTTACATGAATTTTAGTCACTTTTAATCATATAGGCTCTGGTCACCAAATTCTTACTGTGGAATTAAACTTAGACCATTTTTATGTCTTCTTATCCAGGAACAAGTTTCTAATTTAAGCAGGTTATACTCTCTGACCTCTAATACGATGTGGTCATGTAGGATTTTGAGGCTGGTTGGTGGTTTGTTGGTTGTAGTACTGGCAATCAAATTCAGGGTTGTGAACATGCTAGGCAATCATTGTACTGCTGAGCAACAGTCTCAGTCTGACTTTTAAGTATTTTAGTTAGACTCCAGTTAATTTTATGGCTCATAATGACTGGGATCTTTTTTTCTGTCATATGCTTTCATTGGTTATTCTCAGTGTGTAGGAAACTATTGCTTACATGTTAATGCGTTTTGTCTCCTTTCCATTATCTTTTTTTTTTGAGACTGAGTCTTGCTATGTACTTCAGGCTGGCTTCAAACTCAGAGGGGGCTGGGGCTGTAGCTCCGCACCAGAGTGTTAGCCTGGCACATGTGAGGTCCTGGGTTCAATTCTCCAGCAACGCAAATTTGTGGTGATCCTCCTGGCCCAACCTCCCAAATGTTGGTATTTCAAGCATGTCCCAGTGATCCGAGTCACCTGTATAGCTTTAAAATTTGTGAACGATGTATATATTTTTGATCTTTCTCTAGTCCTTTTTCCTACTACTCTTTTTAGCTCATCTTTTACTTAGTTTTTCTTTAAAAGAAAATGATGCAAGCTGAATCTGATTTTCCATATTAGAAAATCACCCTGATAGTGATGTATGTTTATTTTGTAAGCCTTTAATGACCTCTGGAGGTTCGTTCATTCATTAGGTCTGGGATATGACTTGAGCGTGTGTTTAAAAGCACTATGTGTACTCAGATTCTTAATTTAGTAGAGGACTATGATATTTGCAATATGCGCAAAACAATCTGAATGTAGTTATCTTAAAGGGTTAATATCTGTGGGATTTCCACTTACCAGATCATTATAATGAGAATAAAGAAACTGGGAAACTACCTGAAGCACTGGAACTGCCCTCCCTGTGGCCAGATAGCTAGATAATACGTATTTTATAGCAGAAATTCTAACATTACATCATTATGTGATTGGTTGTTTATGGTCTTTAATATTTGCTGCTGACTTTTATCATAATACTTTGGTGATCTTTCAACATATCATTTTTTTCTGTTGTCTCTTTTTTTTTTTTTTTTATGGTACCAGGGATCGAACTCAGGCCCTTGCGCTTGCAAGGCAGGTGGCAGAACCACTGAGCCAAATCCCTGGCTTCTGTTGTCTCTTAAGAAATATAGCTATGAAGGTTAATTAAGAAATTTTGGTTGCTGGGGATTTAGCTTAGTGGTTCTGCTGCCTGCTTCACAAGTGCAAGGTCCCAAGTTCGGGGGGAAAAAAAAAAAAATTTTTGTGAGAGCCAAGCCAAAAGTACTCCTGCTCTTATGCAGTCTGTCAGCTGAGTATGGATGCTGCTGAAATGGAAATACAATAGAGGACACTTTGGAATTCTTACAAACTTGTTATGAAATAAGAAACAGTTGTGTAGGTAGGCTGTTCCAGAAAACAGGAAGGGGGAGATCCCTCTGTGTTCCTAATACATTTCATCAGGTTTGGGCTATTTTCCCTTCCTTCTCTCCCATGTGAGTCCCTTCTTTCCTCAGCCAGGCCTTTTGAGCCTGGGTGCCCCATAACCCTAACATGTCACTATCCCCGGTTCTTCTGGAAGCCACCGTTCTTCTACTTGCTGATTTGTTAACAATTTCCTCCTCCAACACATGTGTATTGAGGGACTAATAATGTTCTAGCACTGCTGGGGTTTTAGGATTTGGCAGAACTGTCTGCCTCTGTGAAATACTAGAAATGGAAAGTTGTTGGCAGTGAAATAATCAATGCCCTTGTAACTATACTGCCAAGTGTTCTATCTTATTAGGGATACATATGTATTTATATTTATTCATTTTTTTTTATTCTTTATTTAGTGTAATTTTGAAAATGACTAAAACTAAATAGTTGTACTGCTTCTTTATTCTAGATATAAACCAGAATACTTCAGGATCCCATTATGAAAATTCCCAGCGGGGACCTTTGTCTTCTACAAGTGACTCTAGCACAAACTGTAAGAATACTGTTGTAAACGACTTGTTGGAAAAAGAAGCATGGCCCTCAGCCCCTGGCAGTGATCCTGAGTTGGCTTCAGAATGTATGGATGCTGATTCTGCCTCCAGTTCTGAATCAGAGAGAAACATCACTATCATGGCTTCAGGGAGCACAGGGGGTGAGAAAGATAGCCTTCGGAGTAGCACTGGACTTGGTTCCCAAAACAAGTTTGTGGTTGGTAGCAGCAGCAATAATGTGGGCCATGGAAGTAGTTCTGGGCCGTGGGGTTTTTCCCATGGAGCCATAATAAGCACATGTCAGGTCTCTGTGGATGCTCCTGAAAGCAAATCAGACAGTAGCAACAATAGAATGAATGCTTGGGGCACTGTAAGTTCTTCATCAAATGGAGGGTTAAATCCAAGCACTTTGAATTCAGCTAGCAACCATGGTGCCTGGCCAGTATTAGAGAACAATGGACTTGCCCTAAAAGGGCCTGTAGGGAGTGGCAGTTCTGGCATCAATATTCAGTGCAGTACCATAGGCCAGATGCCTAACAATCAGAGTATTAACTCTAAAATGAGTAGTTCTTCTACCCATGGTACCTGGGGAAGCCTTCAGGAAACTTGTGAATCTGAAGTAAGTGGTACACAGAAGGTTTCATTCAGTGGTCAACCTCAAAATATTACCACTGAAATGTCTGGACCAAATAACACTACTAACTTTATGACCTCTAGTTTACCAAACTCCGGTTCAGTACAGAATAGTGAACTGCCTGGTAGTAATACAGGGGCCTGGCGTGTGAGCACAATGAATCATCCTCAGATACAGGCTCCATCAGTTATGAATGGCACTTCCCTCTCTCACCTTAGCAATGGAGAGTCAAAAAGTGGAGGCTCTTACGGTACTACGTGGGGTGCCTATGGTTCTAGTTACTCTGGAGACAAAAGTTCAGGCCCCAGTGGCCAAGCTAATGGTGACACTGTGAATGCAACTCTAATGCAGCCTGGCATGAATGGGCCTATGGGCACTAACTTTCAAGGTAACACAAATAAAGGAGGAGGTGTATGGGAGTCTGGGGCAGCAAATTCCCAGAGTTCATCATGGGGAAGTGGAAATGGTGCAAATTCCGGAGGAAGTCGGAGAGGATGGGGAACCCATGCACAAAACACTGGCACTAATATACCCAGCGTCGAGTGGAACAAACTGCCTAGCAATCAGCATTCCAATGATAGTGCAAATGGCAATGATAAGAAGTTTACAAATGGATGGAAATCTACTGAGGAAGAGGATCAGGGTTCTGCCACATCTCAGACAAATGAGCAAAGCAGTGTATGGGCCAAAACAGGAGGTGCCGTGGAGAGTGATGGTAGTTCGGAAAGCACTGGACGCCTGGAGGAAAAAGGAACTGGGGAAAGTCAGAGTAGAGATAGAAGAAAAATTGATCAGCACACATTACTCCAAAGCATTGTGAACAGAACTGACTTAGATCCGCGTGTCTTGTCCAACTCTGGTTGGGGACAGACTCCTATTAAGCAGAATACTGCCTGGGATACTGAAACATCACCTAGAGGGGAAAGAAAGACTGACAATGGGACAGAGGCCTGGGGAAGCTCTGCAACACAGACTTTTAACTCAGGGGCATGTGTAGATAAGACTAGCCCTAATAATAATGATACCTCATCTGTATCAGGGTGGGGCGATCCCAAACCTGCTCTGAGGTGGGGAGATTCCAAAGGCTCAAACTGCCAGGGTGGGTGGGAAGATGATTCTGCTGCTACAGGAATGATCAAGAGCAATCAGTGGGGGAACTGCAAAGAAGAGAAGTCCGCATGGAATGATTCGCAAAAGAACAAACAGGGATGGGGTGACGGACAAAAATCAAACCAAGGTTGGTCCGTTTCTGCCAGTGACAACTGGGGGGAAACGTCAAGGAGTAACCATTGGGGTGAAACTAACAAGAAATCCAGCTCAGGAGGTAGTGACAGTGACAGGTCTGTTTCTGGGTGGAACGAACTTGGTAAAACTAGTTCATTTACTTGGGGAAATAACATAAATCCAAATAATTCATCAGGATGGGATGAATCTTCTAAACCTAATCCCTCCCAAGGATGGGGGGAGCCTCCAAAGTCTAATCAGTCTCTAGGTTGGGGAGATTCGTCAAAGCCAGTCAGCTCTCCAGACTGGAACAAGCAACAAGATATTGTTGGATCTTGGGGAATCCCACCAGTTACAGGCAAACCTCCTGGTACAGGCTGGTTGGGGGGACCTATACCAGCCCCAACAAAAGAAGAAGAACCCACAGGCTGGGAGGAACCATCCCCAGAATCTATACGACGCAAAATGGAGATTGATGATGGAACTTCTGCTTGGGGAGATCCAAGCAAATACAACTACAAAAATGTGAACATGTGGAATAAAAATGTCCCAAATGGCAGCAGCCGTTCTGACCAGCAAGCACAGGTACATCAGCTGCTGCCATCTGCAAGTGCCATCTCAAACAAAGAGGCAAGCAGTGGCTCTGGTAAGCTTTCATTCTATGGAGTCTCGTGGTCTTGCCGAATATTTGCAGGTTTCTGAAAACAAGTTTTGTATCAGCTTACTGTTACGTGTTTAACAGACTGCTTCGGTGTGTACACAGGGCCTTTGTGTCCTAATCTATAAGAGTTCGAGGGAAATTATAGGGACACATTCACCCAGCTAACATAGCTTCACCTTCGGCTGTATCGTCTGAATCTTGTGTACTCCATTCTCTGTCAGGAGTGTAGTGGAAGGTGGAATTGGAAAACTAGGGTCAAGTGGGAATGGTGTGTGCTTCTCTCAGTTGTGAGTTAGGCCTTACCTTTTTGGTTTACTGGACTAAAATACCTCAGAAATCAAGTATCTAAGAACACAGTCTTCCAAACATTGAGTGCTATATTTGTCCTTTGAAGGGAGGCCCTGTCTCCTGAGTGCTGTGGATCAAGCCCGGGGCCTTGTGCCTGACAGGCATGTGCTCTGTCTGTGAGCCGCGCCTCCCAGCTGGGACTTTCTAAGTAGGCCTAAAGTCCTAGTCTACTAAACAGTGTGTATGCATGAAGATTTGACAGTACCCTTCTAGGGTATTCCCATTTCCCTTTCTTACAAAAATCTGATTCCTATCTCTGCAAATTATTTTGGTGGAATTTTCTTGGAGGATAATTGACGTTATTTTTGTTAATAGAGGATTTATTGAACAAGTACTCTAGTTGGACGTAGAAAGGATTTCATGAACTGACCTTTCAGCACCTAATTTTTTTTAGCCCAAGTCTAATGTATTGTATTAATTTAGGTTTAATTCTTAGAAGTAACAGTTATGTATCTAAAAGGAAGCCCTTTGTTTTGGGTTTTTTTAAACAAAATGTCTGTGGTTTCTGTTTACTTGGCTTTTGACAACTTGAACCTAATAATACAGGTTTTTGAGTAGATATTGTCCGGTATATATAGAAGCAGGATGCTTACCCATTGTTAGTCATCAGCTATTGTAGGAAGATTACGATTTCAGGAAAAGTTATAATTAATAGTGTAGATTTTTATACTATTAACCCAGCTTCATCACCTGCTTCATTCAGTTCATTAGAAATGATTCAGAATGACTTGACTCTACTCGTCCTCAAGAGGGATGATCTATCATAACTGAAGTTACTCAAAAGAATTTGCTCTAGGCCCAGAGAGCAGTTGTGAAAGATGTTTTACCAAAAAGCACACCATACAGTTAAATTACATTAATAGGAAATCTGTCTTTATATAAAACAGGTTCTGTCTTTTTTTTTCCCCCTCAGTCATAGCATCAGTATTGAATACGTGAAATGGAGTTTTTCGTCTTGGGTTTCCTAAGTATTTCTTATTGTCCCTTATTCTCCTGTGCCTGCTTACCAGCTGTGCTGATGACTTCTTTTCCCATACTCTCTAAAGGCTGGGGTGAGCCCTGGGGGGAGCCTTCTGCTCCAGCCACAACTGTGGATAATGGTACTTCAGCATGGGGTAAGCCCATAGACAGTGGCCCCAGCTGGGGGGAACCCATTGCTGCGGCATCCAGCACATCCACGTGGGGCTCCAGCTCTGTCGGTCCACAGGTGTTAAGCAAATCTGGTAAGTTAACCGTAATCCCTGGTAGCTGTTCTGAAATGGTGGTGATGACCTGGTGACCACAGCTAAAGAATTGGATAATGTGTCTGTGTTATTTATAGTATGGCATATTAGATGATGTTCAGTACTTGGCTCTTTGTGTTTTTAGCATGGTTTGCCCTTTTATCTTTCTGAATTTTCTTCTTCACTTGTCTCCCTTAGAACTGTAGCTGTTAGTGATCTGCAAATCCTTTGCCATATCTGAATTACATTTTACCAGGTGGGACCATTTAGAAATGGTCCACCAGTTTTCACGCTGTCTGATCCTAGAGACTGAATAGCATAATGTGGGACGTGTGGTGTGTCCAAACTGACAGTGTTCCCCAGGAAATGAGCAGGCTCAGAAGGGACCCCGAGGCACAGATCAGCATTCTCATTGGTCCTCGGTATTGGGTACAGGATTCTTGTAGGAATCCCAGTGACCACCTGTATGGATAAACGCTTCTGCTTTTGACTTTGAATGCTCTTTGGCCACTCCTTTTTAAAATATGTATTAAAGTTGATGCCTTTTCATTTCATCATCTCTATCCTCTGTTACCGTGCAGATTGTTAAGTAGGTACAAACATGAATGCCACCATTGTCCAGATTCAGAAATGCTCTGATTTGTAAAAGCATGGGAGATTTATTGAATTTTTAAATAAAAATGAATTCTTTTTAATGGAACTTTTATAAAGCTTGTGTTCACATAATATATGTGATTTGGGAAGAGAATAAGTGTTGTTTAGTTCTCGCTCCACTCTTTAAATGTATGCTTATCTTCAAGAAAGAATTGCTTTATTAAAGTTGGTTTCTCTTTATATCACAAATCCATAATCAGGGCCAAAATCTATGCAAGATGGCTGGTGTGGTGAGGATATGCCATTGCCTGGAAATCGCCCTGCTGGCTGGGAAGAGGAAGAGGATGTAGAGATTGGAATGTGGAATAGTAACTCATCTCAAGAGCTTAACTCATCTTTAAATTGGCCACCATATACCAAGAAAATGTCATCGAAGGTAAACATTTCAAGGGCAAAGCTCTTGAAACTTTAAATTCCAGAGGTAGTTTACCCACAGAAAACTAATCTTCTGTCTGCCTGTTTATGGCAGTCAGTACAGTCCAGGCAGTCCCCAACTTAGGTATAGCCTCTTCTATGGGCAGCCACCTAGAAAAACGTAAGACCAGAGGAACTTCCTTTCTCCCCACTGCTACAGCTTGGGATTTCTCTCCTCCTCCCCTCTACCATGCTGCCTGGAGCAACCCCTGATTCTCAGGTGGTGCCTGCAGTGGTGAGGATGAAGAGAAGGGCAAATCTCCACGTTGACTTTCCATTCCGCTGCCAGTTCATCTCCCATCCCACCTCCTCACCTGGAGTCCCCAACTTCCCTCACCTGGACTCACCATTCTCCTTATTCATCCACCATCTTTATCCCTTTCCCATTCCAAAAGGTCCTGGACAGAAATACCCAGGAATGGACAGTTTGATTTTGTTCTTACATATGGACAAATCATATTCCCAAACCTGGCTTTATATCAGAATCATGTATTAAAAGTGTGTTAAAAGTATCTGTTAAAGGTATGGTTTCCTGTACCCAGATCTACGGATGTTTTGGAAACCAGGCCAAATTTCTGTACTGAACAATCTCCCCAAATGTCTCTGATGCAGAGCCAGGTTAAGGAACCACTATTTAAAGCACTTGTTCTATGGAGTGGTATTGGGAACTGGTATCAGATTCTCCTGGGGGATGTCTACAAAATATGTGCCCTGCCTCCCAAAGTGATTCTAGTATGTCCTCCCAACCTTGTCTAAGAATGATTACGTTTCAAAGGACCTTAGAAGTCAGATATCCAGTGAGCAGCTGGATGAGCTGACTGCCAAGGTTTCCACCCTTTTCATCCTGGGATTCAAAGTCTAGGACCTGCTATTTTCATTTTATAATTTTTCATTTGGCTGAATTTACCTATTTTCTTGCCATAGAGCTTATGAAGTGCTGCTACATGTTTACATAAGTCATTTGATCCTCATAACCTTCAAAGATAGGATGCTTAGAAATATGAGACTGGAAAAGGTGGTGACTTGCCCAAGTTGTATAACTAGTAAGTGGCAGAGCAAGGACTTAAGTTTAGGTCTTCCAGTTCCAAACCCTGTGTTCTTCCCACTGGACCATGCTGTTTTGTGACTTTGTCTTTCCTTACAGGGTCTGAGTGGCAAAAAAAGGAGAAGGGAAAGGGTGTGTAGCCTTTTTACTCTTTCTCCTTTGTTTCTACTAGTAAAATTCTTTAGAAAGCAACTGCAAACATATATTTAGCTTCTGCTGTGTGCCAGGTACTGTGCTTGGTGCTGGGGATTCAAGTACACTTAAGATATGAGCTGCAGCTTCAAGAAGCTCATAGTCTCATGTGGGGCCTTAGGAGAGCGAGAGCTTCATACGTGTGTCAGCTGGAATGTGGAAGATGCCTGGGTGGGATGTGTTACGGGAGATAGGACCCTGAGATGACCAAATGTAGAATTTCTATAAGAAGTGACAAGAAATCATATATTATTTATATCAGAATCAAATCTGGCTCTCTAGTTAGAGTAAGGATAGATTATAGAAGTGTTGTCAATATCATACCGAAGAATTTGAACTTTATGCTATATAAAATACAGAGCCAGTGTAATGGTAGAAGGTAATGTCAGTGGACTTTTTAAAGAGAGCTAGCCCAGTGATAGAATGAACTCAGGACAGGCCTGGGTGTTGGGGATCTCAGGAAGCCTCTTGCATTAATTCAAGCTAGAAAGGAGGGTTTGATTTGGGAACCAAGAATGGATGTAGAGGGAAGAGGACTGATTTGAGAGACATTTCAGAATAGGAGAGACAAAAGATCTTGGCAGCTAGTTAGATGTGGGTCTGGGAGTGAAAGAGGAAAAGGAATTAAAGAGGACTTCAGAAACCTTGGTGAGGGTTAGATGCTTGCTTCAGAGACCTGCATTTAGGGGGGAAATGATGAAGCTATGTTCTGTTTCACAGTCAGAAGGAACAGGCTATAGCAATGGGAAAGGAAAATGAAGCCAATAAACTGACTGAGAATGGCCCTGTGATCTTCACATAAATGAGAGGCCTCAGTCTCTGGTTTCCAGCCTCTCTACCCACCAGCCTGCTGCTCACCCTGGGCCCTTAACTCAGGCCTCGGTGTAGTAGTGTCCATACCCATCCTGCGAGTGCTGAGTGGGAAGAATCCCATCTTCACGTTCTGCTGGGACTATTGTGTTCTTGGCAGCACAAATTAAAAATTTTAAGTATTTTTTCATGTGATAGCACATGGTGTTTTATCACTATATTGAAGATAATTAAATTTTAGGTTAAATTGGCTTCTTTGAACTAACTTGACAACCTAAATTACTATTTTTTACTTTGGTGTGAGAATCCAAAAATCCAAAGTATAATATTAAAGTCTGATGTCATGAAGTCCATTTGTAGGTCGGGAGCTGCATTACTTAGAGATTGTTTTCTCTTTGTGGGTCACTGCAGCCCTTGCTTCTGTCTTTTCCTTCTGACTGCTTGCCTTTAGAGATTTCTCTGTACATTACAGCTATACCAGAGGACTGGAGCAAAGGAAGTTGAAAATCAAATAAGTTGATTTTTTAATTGTTAACAACTCTGATAAGAGTTGGAGGAGAAATTATTGGCTAAAAATGAGAGTTGGGAATTGTCTTAAAGTTGTATTAATCCATCACTATACCCAGATAAATAGAGATGGCCATGGCATCTTCTCTATTCTTTTATTTTACAAAGGGAATGATGAAAGGTGGAAACAAGCAAGAAGAAGCGTGGATAAATCCGTTTGTTAAACAGTTTTCAAATATCAGTTTTTCGGTAAGTGTATTTTCTCAGCAGCCTTTCCCCTTTGGTGATGGTCCATAATTCCAGTTTCATTTTTTTGTTTTCTTCAAAATTACTCTTCATCTTTGAGACCTTAAAGTATGATTAAAGATGGTGTAAAATTGGCCTTCAAGTTTTTATTCTTAGAGTTGTAAACTGTGAAAATTTGATCTCTTGGGATTTTGCATTAAAATGAAAAAAAAACTTCATGTTTCACATGAACTTTACAGATAACAATTGTAAAAATACCCTTTATTTGCATTGATAAATTAAGGTCTACTAAAATGTTGATATTTTTTCTTCAGAGAGATTCACCAGAAGAAAATGTACAGAGCAATAAGATGGACCTTTCTGGAGGTGAGAGAAGAATTAAATCAGTTTGAGTTTATATTTATGACAGGTGAACAAACAAATCTACAATGTGACTTCACTACAAGAGCCCTTGGTCCCAGCCGGGAAGGGGGAGGCTGACTGCGCTCCCAGCTTCTCCCATGTACATTAGAATGCTGCGGGTAAATGTGTTTGTGTCCCTTTGAAGTGCGGGTCACTGTGCTAATCTGAGGTTGTGGTATTAATCTGATTACCTCAGAGTTCTGGCTCAACCTGGTGCATTGTTATCCAGGTTGAGGGCATTTAGTCTTCTTCCCGAGAAAACCTCCTATATAAAGACCCAGGCATGTGACATACAGGAGAAATGGCAAGTAGTTCTATGTAATGATGCAAAAAGTACAAAATTGGTGGTTGGAGGAGGAAGAGAAAGGGGAAAGGCAATGGTACTTCACCTACATGAAGATGCTGGAAAGGTAAGTAGGCCCTGATGCTAAGCCAGGTAGAAATTGGTTGTGGTAGTAGCCTGTGGTTATTTTCAGGCTTCCACTAAGAAAGTAGATGGACTAATTCAGTGTGCATGTGGAATTAGAGTCACCAGAATTTGAAAATTTTAAACACTTTGTTATAGAGGGTGAACATATGATGAAAGATGACTCTTAGCTTCTTTACCTGGACACTTTAGAAGATAATAGTGCTCTTGTGTTAGTCTGACCAACCTCAAGAGAGAGAAGCTGGGTAATTTGCAAAAGGAAAATTGAGTACAAATGTAAAGAATTACTAACTCTGATGAAAAAATGATAAGTAGTGAGGGTTGTTTTTTGGTACCAGGGATCGAACTTGGGTCCTTGTGCTTGTGAGGCAGGTGGCGGAACCACTGAGCTAAATCCCTGGCCCTAGTGAGGGTTTGTAAAGGAACTCTAAAGAATACATGAGTAGCAGCCAGAAGTCATGAAACTTCAACCTCGAGTAAGGGGCCTGAGGAAGAGACAGTCCCATGCCTGCCCTTAAGCACTGCCAGGGCTCACAGAAGTCACTGCAGTGCCGCCCCATGGGGCTGCTGCAGCAGAGCTCCAGAGGGTGCTGGCTGCGGTTCTGGTGAGCTGAGCTTTGTAGGGGCCTGGTGCTGGGAACACTGCTGTGCTGCAGGGAGAGTGTGCTGGACTGGGGAGCCAGAGTTTTCCTCTCGCAGCATCTCTGTTCCACCCTCTGCAACAAAGCCTTGGTGCCAGTAAGCACATGAAAAACATGTCAGGGTCTCGGGGACACCCCCCCCCCCCCCCCC